CAGAGCAGATAGTTTGAACAACAATACAAAACAATCAATAAATTAACTAATCTAGAATGAATGGAATTATTATTGATGACTGGTAATGCCAACTGAAAGCAAACACATAAAAACATGGACATTTTTTATTGTTTTGTTTATAAAGACGTGGTTTGAAACCTATTTTATTTAGATATCAGATTACATTTAAAAACTATGACACTGTAGAATGAAAAAATTAAATATGTTTTACCTGGATTTCTTAAAGGATCAAATATTTGATTCATTATAAAAGTCTTTCCAATACTAACTACCTCTGACACAGATAAAGATAAATAATCTGTGGTCATTAACCTATATAATGTTGAACAGGCCCTGAGTATCACAGTGAATTTGCTTTACAGTAAAATGAAAAAAAAATGAGGTACGGTTTTGACACAAAAGATTGTCTGGAAAAAATAGTTCACCAGAAGAATCACGTTGAGTGAATTTTGTGACATCATCACTAAACAGGCGTTCAGTCAATTTTCATCATAAATTTCATCAGATTATTTTTACTCTTTTGTCAGAGATTTACCATTTTACAAAGTTAAACATATTTTACAAATATTCTGTATATATTTATCCTTATATAGAGATAAACAATCAAATCAATCAAAATCAAATCAAAAACTTCTTTATTGTCAACTACAATTTACATTACAATAGAAATTTCAGTTTCAGTACAACCGTTCATTGAGGAGGGTGGAACTGATTAACTGAGGCCATGCTTGCCACAGAACACATTATTATGGCTTGCCAGGTCCCAGGCGGTTACCTATAGCTCTGCCTTACATAGTTGTCTCCTATTTTATAGGAAAAATATTTAATATGTTTACAAAGTAATATATTTGAAGATGAAACCATAATGCAAAAAAAAGCTGGAAACTTTTTCTGACCTTTTTGTTGATAATCATTTTTTTCAATCGTAATGGAAGTTTATGGCATAGAGAAGAAGAATCCTCTCTAAGTTCTGATGTGACCAAAACAAAATGTTCCACGTTAAACCATGTTGAACTAAATTGAGCAAAACTGTATGAAAATGTCTTGTCATGAACACAAAATTGTGATTTGTTGCTAATTGATCTTTATTGATTCCACATACTACAGATGTGATGTTATGTTTTATTTATTATGTTGAAAAATTGAGGATCTTGAGAAGAAATAGAAGGTTAAAAATGGAATCTGATACAAATTTTACAGACAATACAGAGTGAAAAGACAAAAAAAAAAACAAGTCAGGAGGTTACTGGGAGCACTGATCTCTCCTCAGTGTCTCTGTGACTGCAGACTGGGAGCCCTGGGTGGCCTCACAGGTCACAGAGCCCACCTTCCTCCACTGGTCTGCAGGGAGCCTCAGGGTGCTGCTCCAGCTGTAGAGGCCGTCCTTCTGCAGCACTCCTCTGCTCTTGTTCTCCTCCCAGCTGCTGCTGCTGCTGCTGCCGTCCACCTTCCAGGACAGACTCCAGTCNTTAACAAACCTCCCATAAGTTTACTTTGAATAATAAACATGAGCTATCACTGTTTTTTGTATCAAATAAACTGTGTTTTATATCAAACAGAAAAACAGATTTTCACATTTAAAAGAAAAAGATTAAGTTTGTACAATAATTTTGCAGTCCTAAAAATATATTCAGTAGATTAAAATGAAAGATTTTTTCAACTTATAATAATTTGATATAATATTTAAAGTATTATGCAATTCAATAACTAAACCTAAATCATAAATCTGTCAATAATACAAAAAAAAATGAAAAGTTTAATGATCCAGCAGTCTGTAGCAGGATGTTACTGCCAGATGTCGTTTTACTCCAATAGTCACTTCTTCTCTTAACGTTTCACTTCCCTTCATGAAGCTTCTCATGCGTATCAGCCCAACCATAATCTACCACCTTAAATATTTCATTGACATTTTAATCATACATGTCTGGTTAGAATTTATTGTGAAAACCTACTAATTAAATTTAACATTTATTTAATGTTTTTTTCCAAATTGACAACAGATAACGGTCTACTTTATTCTGTACCGCTCCTATTATAGGTTTTAAAGACGAACAGTTTAGGTCCCAGATTACAGATGGAGTTACATGGATGTTATATTTTATCAATTATGAACGTAACTAAACTTTATAAAAATAAAATGGAAATCTTAATATTGATTTCACTTAAATATATTGGTCGTGTAATCAAAAAATTACATGTTTTTCTACCCAAAGAAAGATAAACAGAAAAAAAACTTAGAAAGTATATTATTGCCTCTTTATTCCTAAAGTTTTTGCTAATTTACTTCCAGACTCCAGTCTGGATTCTCCACTGACCGTGTTCGCCAGGGATGCAAAAACTGAATGAGCCGACTGAATGACACAAATCTCTGACTATTCAGACTTAATTAAAACCAACAAGTCCAGATTAAACTATTCAAACAAAAATACGGTTATAAATCCATAAGGGGACACATAACACATTGCATTATATTCTATTTGTAGCTTTCAAAATAATAAAATTGCCTTAGTGTCTCCTATCATTGATTTTGTGAATATAAATCAATCTATCAAACTTTTCTAAAGTCTAACTGTTATAAAAGTAAATAGAAAAAATAAAAATAAAATAGTGCCAAACAGTTTTACTTACTTCCAAGCTCCAGTCTGGTTCCTCCACCAAACGTGTACCACAGTGATACAAACTGATGAAGCCGGCGTACAAAAACCTCTGACTGTTAAAGACACGGCTCTCTGACTCTGAACATAAACAACTCTGTNTAAGTTTTGTAGAACTACACTTATTAAGTTGTGTCAGCTAAGTTTTTCAAGTTCTGCCAAGTTTTTTTTAATTCAAGTTACTGGAACTTTCAAGTCTGTAAAAACTTATTATTTTAAGTTCAGATTATCTGTAAAAAGTTATTTTAAATTCAGATTTAATAACTTGTAATACTTGTAAATGTAATAACTTACATTTTTGAGTTTAAATCCCCCCCCATTAAATCATCCACTGACAGTAAACCATTCATCCATTTTCTTACACACTTGTCCCAAGTGGGGCGAGAGGTCACCAGACACAAAGGACTAACAACCATTCATGCACACACTCACACCTAAGGACAATTTAGAGAAGCCAATCAACCTAACAGTAATGTTTTTGGACTGTGGGAAGAAGGCCGGAGTACCAGGAGAGAACCCACGCATGCTCAGGGAGAACATGCAGAAAGACCCCGGGCCAGGAATCAAACCCACAACCTTCTTGCTACAAGGCAGCAGTGCTACCCACTGCACCACTGAGCAGCCCTGACAGTAACCAGTTAAATTTTGCATGTTTATTTGAACCACTTTGGCAAAAACAGGTTTACAATTCCACAATGTAAAAAAGCAATGTAAACAAGTAATCTTATGCTTAAAGCAAATCCGGTTTCAGCATATATTTTTTTACTTTCCAACTCCTGTTAAAACCTTACAAATAATGCAATATTGCCAGAAATGACAGGAAACCAGTGCCTTAGTCTTCTCTTGGACGAGTCCTCAGGGAAAGTTACCGCCAGCAGAGTGACCAGATGGCCGATGCAAACGTTAGAAGGGAGCTCCTGGGAAAATATGAAACAATAGAACATTTTATACTAGAATGTCATAAATATGAAAGCGAGAGAAGATATATGAGGAGAGAGTTTGAATGTATTTAGGAAAAGATTAATTTATTAGCTATTTTGAGGAAGAATTTGGGGAGTAAACATATATATATATAACTATAAAATTTTTAAAGAAAACAAAATTATTTAATAGAACTTTATTATAGAGAGGGGGAATGTGTGTATGATATAGACGGGTAGAATACAAAGTTGTGTATGAATATGTATAATTTATTTTATTTTTTATTTTTTTGGTTTCTTTTTGTTCTTCAGAAATTATATGTTTATCATTATATAGTCCATCACGAACCACACTCCATATCAGTAAGTGGTTTGGTTATTAATAAAGCATTTTTTTTATTTTTACATTACACAAAAATAAAAAATAAAATATAGTAGGGGGAACTATAGAGCTACACACTCATGTACAGTAGGTGGCGGTATGCACCTATAAGCTGCTTGCAATCCAACCATCTGACAAAGAAGAAGAGTTTTATTGTGAAAGTCTTCACCCGGAAAAAGTTTTCAACAGTTCCGCTTCTTGTTATGATGGTAGGTTAAACTCGTCTGAAGTAAATTTGTTAGTTTTTAGGGATTCGAACCACTTTGCCTTCACGCCGAACCGAGAAGTGACGGTTAGCTGGAATGCTAACGAGGAAAACATCTTTTGGAAACTGCCTGAAGTCAAGACAAACTGACTGTCTGGACGAATTTGAAGGAAATTTGGAGGTTGGGATAAAAACATTTGTGACTAGATCAGAATGGCAGCTTAGGCTGTAGATGATGATGATGATGATGATGATGATGATGATGATATGGATAGTTATTATAAAGTTATTATAAAGCTATGGGTAGCTAGTGGCCGAGGAAGATGAAAATTTGAAGGGAACCAGGTAGTAAAATAATTATTGAAATAGTTCAGAGGATGGAAACAAGAGTGTAGGTAAAGAGATTTTGAGGGAAGGAAAAAAAGATAAACATAAGCTCAAGAAAGAAGAGAACATCAATCTGAGCCCAATATTAGTATCAGAAGAACTAAAAATCAAAATACAGGATGTGAAATGGCTAAAACATTGAGAGATTGAAATTTGCTAATTGTTTGTAAACCAGAGGAGCATAAAAGGAAAGTTCTGTTCATAGGAGCCATTTGCAAGAAAACAGTGGAAAGTAGAAGAATTGTAGGAGAAAATAAAGCTTCTTGATGGGTTATTTTTGGCATTCCACTTAATGAAGTTTAAAAAATAGAAATGTGGAAGTTAGCAGCATCAGGAGGTTACAGAAAAAACAATAAACAACGAGAGAGTTGACAGCCTCTCTGTTCTGGGATATATGGGATATATCCAGTTAGACTCTTTGTTCTTCCTCCACTTGGATGAGGTCAAGAAAATGCTTTTATTGTGGCGGGCAATATAAAAAGGCTGTGAGTTCAGGAAGAAAGCAGTGGAGGTACAAAAGCATAAAAACAACCTAAGCTATGCTGAGGCAGTTAAAAAGTTTTAAGAATAATAGAAGAAAACTGCTGAAATAAGGAGAGAACCAGAGCAGCATGGTGGGATATGTAACCCCATTGAATTATACAAACTGATTTTGTTCGTTAGCTGTGTAATTAGTTGCATGGACCAGTTCAAACATAAAACTTAAAAAATATATATATTTATATATAATATCACTGTTAAAGGAGCAAAACTTTTTTTTTTTTTTTTTTAGCATGAGGAATATTGCTTGGGAACAGATCAACCAAGAACCTGAATCAGGTGACAAACAGGTTCCACCATATTTTGCAAATAAATTCTTTAAAAATCAGACAGTGTGATTTTCTGGA